ACCAAAAACATATAAAAACACAGCATTTCCAAGGTTTTGAGGCCCAAACCATATGAAGACACTTGTTTTTGTATCCGGATTGTGAAAATGCGGTGGTTTTTAAATGCTTTTGCATCAAAACATTGGAAAATCATTGAAACATGTATTTTTTTAAAAAAAAAATTCTATGATTTTCTTTGTGTTTCTTGTCCCCTGGTTCACTTCCAGGAGAGCCCTCAAAGGAAATCAATTTGTAATCCTCCACAAATGGAATCCCATTGCATCCCTCCACCAAGGGGAATCCCTTTGTAATCCTCCGCCACAAAAGGAAAGAATTTGCAATTCACCATGAACAGAATTCCCGTTTAATTCCCCACAGAAGAACTCAATTTAAAATCTGCTACAACAGGAATCGTTCTGCATTCCACTACTTTGAGCAACCCCTTTAAAGATGACGAAAAGCATAATCAACAGGAAAGCAAGCAAATGAGAAGTAATAGACCAAAAACCGAGGTGGTACACACACACGGCTTCATTAACCTTACGGGGGGGGGGGGCGCTGGAACCGCTGTATGATACGTTCGAGCGCATCATTTCTACGCCAGCTGGCTTGGAATCTCTCGGGTTCAATATCGCGTTCGCCATCGCCGATGACCTTGGCGAGTGAGATGCCATCGAGGAGCGCGGCTGGGCAGCCAAACTCATGCAGTTCTCGTTCGTTATCGCTAAGCATCGCCTAATGACCTTGTCGCACTACTTATGGGGCCTCCCTGGGTGTATCATGCTGTGCCTGTCTGCTGACATGGCCGATCACGCTGCTTCCAATCAGTTCTTGAATATGGAATGGCGCTCGTGGTAAGGGTTCATGGAGTCAGGCTTCCAAGATACAACTTTTTGGAAGCCGATTAAGAACCGCCACGTCCTTCAACATCAGCTCGCCAGGAAGTGCACGCGCCAAGCAACGCAGCGCAACCTCGAGCGCATCGACTCTGCGCAAGGGCAGGCGGCCAAATCTTTAGTTGCAGGTTTTTGCCAAACGAAGGTGATAGAGGACAGTTTTCACGTGGCAAGCGAATTCTGCAACTACGAGGCGCGGAATGGCAAGGTGCCCCCCATATCGATTTGGGAGAACATCATCAACCGCAGAACTATGAGCCAACTGCACCGCTACCATGAGGTTGCCGTGGGAGTGGACACACGGCTGCCGCTCTCGGAGAAGGGGCGCAAGCTGGACACGGACCTCTTCGAGGGCACGCAGAGGGCAAATTGTTTTTGAACCAGTCGTGGGTACGGGCCTCTTTGCCCCTTTTCCTCCTCCTCTTTTTTTTCTTCCCCCCCTCCTCTCCTCCTCCCCCTCCTCCTCTTCCTCCTCCATCCCCCCCCCCCCCCCCCTCCTCCTTGGCCAGCTGGGGTCCCGAACAATAAGCAGCAGCGCGCGCGCGCGGAGCTCAGGCCGCGCGGCGCAAGCTACGCGGTGATATCTACGTGGCGCAAGTTATGGCGGCGCAAGCTATGCGGCGCAAGCCACGTGGTACAAGCTACGCGGTGCACTTTACGCGTCGCAAGTGACGCGACGTAGGCTATGTGGCGCAAGCCTCTTGGCTACAGCTATGCGGTGAATGCTATGCGACGCAAGCTTCGAGGGCCATGGAGCGCCGCGGACGCAGCGTGGCTGAGCGAGGCAGAGGAGCAAGAAGAAGAGGACGAGGAGGAACGAGAGAATGGTAGTCAGGAAACGGTGCTCGTTCATCCTCACCTCTAGCTTTTAGCAGGCCGTTTTGGCTGTTCGCGCCCCCGTGGGAGTGCGTCTACCAACCAGTTGGCCCAGTGCTCGGGGCGCGACCCCAAGACCACGTGGCCCGCGTTCAGTGCCAGGAGCCAGGCCAAGCGCGTTGGCGATATGTTTCTGATGATTCAATGCTTCTTAGACAAGTCTTGGGCCATTGCCGACAGGGGTGCGACGACAGCCTTGCCCCATGTCGGCGTGCTGGTTCGTCGCGGGGCGGACCCTGCAGACGCGTTCAGTTTCTGCGTCGGCCACTTCTCCAACGGCGCCATGCTTCTGACTGCAGGGGCTGCCAAGGCATCAGACACCCAATCTGTTTATGTGATGGGCGCCTTTCGTAGAGAAAGCATCAACTTCGCTTCGGTCCTGGACCCTGGCGCGCTCGAGGTGCGCGAGGGCAAAGCGCGGGAGTTCTCGGGGGGGGAATGGCGATTTTTGGCCAACGTTGGCCGGCCTGTGAGCCTAGGATTCGGCCCCAGTGGGCCTGAGTAAACGAAGCGGGGCGGCCCAGGTTTTCCAGCCCAGGGGTGGCCGAGCAATGCAGCAGCTCATGGGGTTTGAAAAATTGTTTGCACCTACAGGCACTTCCGTTGCAGTGGGAGACGCCCATGTCCTGGGCGTGGAAGGAGCGCTCTGTCAGCCCAGCGATGGGGCTGTTCGCGCGACCCACTGGTCCTGCCGAGCCGTCGTGGCCTCGGCGAACGATCGACGGCGGGTCGAACGCTCGAGCTCGATAGCGACCAGGTGACTGAATAGGAGGACGGAGGTTTGGATCTGGATGGGGGGTTGAGGTAAGGCGAGGGCGAGGGAAGCATGAGGGATGAGTAGAGGATAGGAGGTTGTTTTAAGCCACGTGCACCTAAGGTTGTTGAATATCGCTGCCAAGCACTGCTTCTGGAAATGCAGCGGCGCTGTGCTCGACGCTGTTCTAGCGCATTTAGGCATGGCGAAACCTCCGACTATATGCAAGAAGCTCGAGGCCCTTCTTCAAAAGTTGCTAGGCCCTTTGAAAGAGCCCGAGCTCTTGCGCTTGATGAACAAGCGCCTTGAGAAGCCTGACCACGCAATGGACTCCATCGCGAGCGACCCGGCTTTGTTGGAGGAGCGTGGAAAGCCTGAAAACACGACAAAGATATGATGCAGGAGCGATCGCGATCGCTAAACATCCTCACAACGTGTGGCCTGACGTGCTATATTTAGTTTGAGGGGGGGTGGACTCGAATGGTGTGCCATCAAGTGTTGGTGTGATTCTATATGAAAGATCTCGGTTGTCCTTGGGCGTGTCAGATGTCTGCGAGCGAAGCAAGCCTGCGAAGCCCCCCCCCCCCCCCCCATCGCGCCCCTGCCCACCCCGCGCCCTCCAACTCTAGACCGTCACCGTCCACCCGTGCCAGGACTACAAAGCACAGCAGGAGCGAGATGACGCGGCCCAGAGCCGCATGCACATCGCAATCAAGGCTTTGAAACAGAAGGTAGTTGATGCAAAAAAGGCCGAGGCTGAGGTTGCGGCCGCCGCCGCCGCCATTGAGAAGGGCAAGGGCAAGGGAGGAAAGGGCAGGGGCAGAGGGGCCAAAGGCAGAGGCAAAGGCGCCGAGGCGCCTTCAGGTCCGAAGCCAGGCGTCACGCTCGAGGCGCCCAAGTCTGAATTCACAAACGAGATCGCCAAGAGCTTGGTGCCGCCCGACTGCAACGTCGCATCGAGTGAGCACCACTAGGCGCGGCGCTCTTGGTGGACAGGGGATCGCGCTCACATCCCCCAGAGGTCCAGGTCGTGGGGTCAGTCGGCGCACCGCGGAGCATTCCTGAGCCTTTCGGCAGAGATTAAGCGTCAGTGGGAGGCCGACGGCAACGGTGAGTGGGACGTCGCTGTTTTGTAGTAGGCTAGTGGCACTCGGTTTCTAGATGTCTCGGCATCGCTTCAGGCCAAACGATGCGTCGAGGGCGGGAAAGGGGGGCGAAAACGACTGCACGTGTTGACACAAACGGGCGGGCAGGATGAAGTCGGGAGGGGTGCCAACGAGCTGTGTCGGTGATCTGCCTCGGAATTCATCGCTGTGCGTGTTTGGGGTGTACTTCATTTGTGCGCGGTGCAACCCCCTAGGAGGTTGTGCGACCACTGTCCTGGTCATCTTGTTTGGGTATGCAGCTGTTGCGGCCCCGTATGTTCTAGGACGCTTGGCCCGCTTTTGGGGGTCAGCTGATCAAGTGCGGCCAGTGGGTCAGTTCGGACACCTCGTGCTGGGCGAGTTTCTCTGGTTGCGATGCTGCTGGCGAGTGGCGCAAGCAAAAAAACAAAAGACTGTGCCTACCTGTCTCTGACATGTTGCTACCATCCCGACGTCATTCGATTCATCCGCCGCCCTCTTGGCTCAGAAGGGTTGCCTCGAGCTACGAACAATCCACGTGCGTTGCGTGTTGACGGGTCGGCGACTTGGGGATCCCTATCGGGTCAAAACCACATGCATTCGTATGTGCACGAGCAGAGTGCTTGAGCCAACATTTACCGTGACAGTTCGTCATAGTTTGAGGCCCCAGGTGGACGGCGTTTCCAAAACGAGGATGACATTGGCGGGAACGCTTAAGTTGGGCCTGTCTGAAGTAACATATGGCGCCCCAGAGCGGTGGAGAAGCCTTGCGTTTCCTGCACATATGTATCCACTTCAGGGTTTCAGAATGAAGTTAACATCCATATGTTTGAACATCTGTCCGAAACCCTGGATGATTTAGTGAAAACCACCAAGCTGATGATATGAGTTTCTGCTGTGGCTTCTCCATCGGTCTGGGGGCCGCTCACTTGGGACGTTCCGCTGCGCGTCCTCCCGGCATGTCCCCTCTGTCGATTGGTTCTGGGGCAGCTACCATCTGCTCAGGCAGCTCGAGCTTGAGATCCAGATCAGTTCGGTCAGGATTCGGACGCCAGGGAGGACTCGATCCACAACGCTATACAGAGCACAATCGCGGCATGGAACATCGCAGTTCAGCACGGCTCAGCACAGCACAGCCCTCGGCACAGTACATCAAGATCGATACATTCAGCATTGCATCCGCCCGTCGCCCAATCAAGTGTTTTTTTTTGAAACGTTGCCATGCCTTACATTTCTATATTCCTTTCCAGGTTCGTGGGTCGATCATGTTCTTCCTCTAGGCGGGGTCGGAGGGGAGCCCAGCGCCGACCCAAGAAATCCGCGCGAGCCTTCGAACGTTGCTACTCGTCTTTGTGGCTGCCACTCCAGAGGCGGAGGTCGCAGGCCTCAAACAGGCCCTGGAGATCCTGGAGGGCGAGGCCGTGCTGCTGCAGCGGGCCCGCCGGCTGCGGGCGGTGCGGAGGCACGCCGCGTGAGGAGTCCCGCGGCGATAGCGGCCCCCATCTGCAGAAGGCAGCTGCACACCACCACCAGTCAGAGGAAGGCGATTTGTGACAACGGTCTTTGGCCTCCGGGGGGCCCTTCGTCGCCACGACTGGACGCAGCTCTAAAAGATTTTGCGTTTATCCCCGGGTGGGTCAGGGAACAGATTTTGAGCTGCCGTTGTCTCATCTCGCCCTGCTCAGAGCCATACCGGACCAGGGCCATCCTTGGCCCCAAAATGGTGTACAGACCTTCCTGGCCTCGGCCAGGAGTGCGTGTACACCATACCATTGCCCAGGTTTGCCCTGGGTGGTCTGTAGGCACCTTCCACGCATTCCACGGAGGACGGAGTGTGGCCGCGAACGACGGCGAATGCGCGGGCTACTGTTCCTCCTCCTCCTCCTCCTCCTCCTCCTCCTCTTCCTGCCCAGCATTCCCCAGCAGTCCGGGATCGAGGATCGCGGTTTTTGCCTCCAACCTCTGTGAGTTTGACGCACCCTCGTCCCTCAAAATTCTGGCCAGAACGCACTCCAGGACAGATTCGGGAACCGATTTCGAGGGAGAAACCCACGCTCCTTCTCGGTCGGTCGGTCGGTCGAGAGGCGGGACGATGAGTCGATGCCTAGCCACGGGTGAGAAGAAGTCAACTGAAATCTGTCGGCTAACCTTGCTTCCTCGCATTCCTGATCAGACGGCCGTGGATCAGAAGCAATCCAGGCACGATGGGAAGCGGGGGAATTTCTGAGATGCTTGACAAGTCGGGGCACATGTGCGAAGTCCTTCAGGCGCACCTGGCAGCATGAACCTGTGGCGAGCGAAGCGCGGGCCTCCAGTGAGGGATGGTTTTGCTCAGATGAGCCTGGATGAGCCTCTCCGTGGCCGCAGTGAATCCACTCTGGTAGCATACAAACCCGGGAGGGGCAGTCGCTGTCGCAGGCTCAGGGGGGGCTGACTGCTTCCTTTGCCACAGTTCGCTCCCAAACTGCCCCCCTGCAACAACATTCAGCAACATGTTTGGCCTTGCGAATAGCTGCACTACTGTATGGTCGATCTGCCTTGGGCTCCTGCATGGCGACCTGAAGCCAGTCGTCCAAGTTGCCTTGACCAGGTCGTTTGTCGGACTCTGTGCGGAAGTTGGGCCAGGCGATATCGTCCTGAACCAATTTGCCCCGCGCATCGGGTGCATCCCAGGCTGAGTCTATCAGTGACCTGATCATTGGCGGCGCACGAGGCACAAATCTGCCTACATACCTGAGCTCGGCTATGGTCAGAACACGTTGTGTGCCCAGCCTTCCAGCCCTCAGTCAAACCTCGGCCCTTTGGATGCGTAAGTCAGCATTGCTCGCGCAGGCCCAGTGAAGTCCCGCGCGGTAAAGCCCAACGCGCGCGGTGGACAGGTCGGAGGCCAGGTGGTGATCAAGATGTGGCCAAGAAGTTGCAGCATAATTAACATGCAAGTGTTTCGGCCAGCGAAAACTGTTACAGCCAGAGCATCAGCATATAGCACCTTGGAGCGGTCAGCCAGGGATTTACGAGTAACCGCGCGGCGGATAGGTTGAATGGCGGCGTTAGTCTTGGCGATACGTGTGCTGATCTCTAAGTTTGATGGAGCCTTGCTGAGTTATCCATGCTCCGAGCATCATGTGATCAATTGCTACTGGAAGCTCGAATTGCCACATTTCCGAAACTACCTTGTCGAGCCTCCCAGTGACAAAGTTCGCTAGGATTTGTTTGGGCCCAGGGCCTCGCCATGAAGTGAGCAGCTTGGTTTGGGCTGCATTTGGCTTTCAGCCGCGTGAGCAGGCAACGCAGGAAACTGCCTCAGCTATGGCCGCTGCTGTGTCGGAAACGATACATGGCTTGTCCATTGCCACTGACACTGTTAAGTCGTCAACGAATGATTGGTCAACCTGAGCTCTTTGCCAGTCCGGAGGGGGTGGGGAACATTGGTTGGGGATGGGGGGGCGCCTCTTTTCACGCCAGGAATTCTGCAGCCACCTACGGAGCTCGGCGTGGACTAAAGCAACCACTGGAGCGTGGCGAAAACAGTTCTCGGTCGGGTGCCCGCGATGGGCTCCACAAAATTGGCCGCGTTTCCCATTTTGCAAAAATCCTTGCGCTGGGTTTCTCGGGTGAGCTTGGTGAGATGATATGCCGTGATGCGTTTTTCCAGGAGGGGTTTCTTGCCGATCTGCGCTTCGGCTGCTTTCCAGAGGATCTGGGGTAGTTGCGCGTTTGCAGGGGCCTCCATGATATCCTCTTCGTCTTCGGGGAGGGAGATTGCAAACTGACGCAGGGTATTCTAGAAGGCGATCTGCAAGCCCAACTTCAGAATGGTGGTAGATAGCTTGCGCAGGGACGCTGCAGGCGCAAACGCTCGGAGTCCGTGCGTGAGCATGTCGCGCCCTTCCCAGGAAAGCTTCCGCACTGCTCGTTAAAAAGTGCGCCGCCGAAAAAATCGCACGCCAGCGGGCGGAGCTTTCTATGGCAAAGCATTGAGATCGCGCTGGCCATCATAATTTCTCGTTGGGATACTGCGCGCCTGGCGGGCCCATTCCTCGCGCAGTAGTGACCCCATTGCGGTGATGGCCATCTTGGCCAAGAGGGGGGTGACCAACTTGGCCATCTGATGCGGGGCAGCCCTGAACAAGTCCAATGCTTTTAACGTGGTGGCCTGCGTCAACGACAGTCGGAGTGCAAATCCAGCCCCTCGGAACCTCGGGCCCCCGGATCATCGGAGGCGAATTGAAACTCTCGGTGAATTGTTGCGTGGTTCTCTCCTTCGCGTTATCAAATTGCGCGAGGGTATCCTGAACATGTTGCGCTAGGACCTTGGGCTGATCCTGATCAGTGTCGGGCGGAATCTCCATGGTGGCAAGGCGCCAGGTTCTTTAGAAGATCGCCCCCCCGCTCCCGCCCCCGATCAAAAGATACTTGAGCGCTCTCCATTCATCGCGAGGCATGTGCGCGTCTGCGCTGACTCGCATGCTCTCAGCGGTCTGCTCGAGGAAGCTGACTCTGCCCCTCTCGCGAGTTGAGGCAGGAGAGGAGGCGGCTCTGTGGAGGAAGTCCAACAGAAGCACCAGTAACTCCAGGGAGAGCTCTCTGAATACAGGGGGGCGTCGAAGCGCCCCCCCCCGTTACTTCGCGGATTGCGGCGACTGAGGTCTCCGACGCGGCGGCGGAGATTTCCGTGGGAGATTCGGCTGCAGAAATGCTTGAGGGCGGACGCGTCAGTTCCCGTGGACCCGTTAGCTTGAGCGCCCTTGCGGATGGCCCTGGTTTCTCTTCATTTCCGCATTCTGAAATCGAGAGTTCCATCGGAGACGTATGTTTTCCTGGCGGCAGCCCTGGGGCGCGCGCAGACCTCGCCCGCCACGCCGCGGATTTGGGATGCGAAGCTATTGATAGTGGCTGGTGATGTCCACCCCCCAGACTGGTGGCTGGCTGGCCTCCGGCTTGTCTACGAAACGTGCCTCGAGTCCAGGACCTCGAAGCTTTCGTGGATCCAGCCGCGGGGCGGGTGGCTTGATCTTCTATGTGCAGCGCCAGCTGAGCGACTCGAGAACGGGAGAGCGATTCCGCGCTCATAGTATAATCCATATTGCGTAAAACCTTACAGTCGTAAACCCAGAAATCTAGCTGTTTGGGGCCAGAACGCAATCGGCGCGACGATGGGTCTTCTGGGCGTCGATGAATGCGCGCCCCTATGAACTTATCAAAGCCCACGAAGTCTTTGACCGCAATGAATACAACACTGACTATGAATCAGAATCTCATTCTCGCAGCGCGCTCTGTCTGACTCAAGGGCCCTTGCCGCAATCCAGGGCCGAAGCGGTTGCGGGCTCGTGCTATGCAACACACGCGCACGAGCATGCACACTAGGTGTACAGCGTACACCTCACATTCCCAATCCTTCAGTTTGAACATGCGCGTTGATGACAGCCATGAAGGTGCCAAGTGCGCGCGTACTTTCTGATCATGTTGCTTGACGACATTTCTTCATCGTCCACAGCCTGGGGAACTCGGGGGCCTCGCCTGGCAATGCCGTCCTTGAGCACGAGCCATGGGTCGCGCTAGTTGTGAGCTCCGCGCAAGTCCCTCCCAAAGGCGTCGTTTGTTCCTTCGAGGGCTGTTAAGCATGGGGGGCATGAGCGGCGAGCGCTACGAGATCCAGAGTCCAGAGCGACGGCCGATGTCCTCATGACACAGATTCTTGGATCAGAAGGCAAAGCTCTGTCGCCTCTGAATGAAGAAATGGTACAAGCCTGTTGTAAGATAGGGAACCGTGGTCTTCATCCGAGCGTCTACTACAAGCGTCCCTGTTCATCGCTGCCTCAGGAGAAGAACGAATCCATCTGCCATCCCAGCGCTCGCAGGGTTCCTGGAAATCCTAAGCAGTGACTACAAGACGTCTTCTCGTTGCAACCGGATGTTCTTGTTTCGCGATCTTCGGAGCTTCCCCATTGAGGCCCCGCGTCTTGCGAGTCGGGGCTGACCTCGCATTGCGATCAGCCGTGCGGAGCTGAAGGCGAAAGCGTTTGCCTACGTCGTCGGACTGTGTCTCGTAGGCTTATTGCGCACGGGCCTCATGGGCACATGCGTCGGGAAGAGGGGTGATGCCATTCGAGCCAGCAGCGGGATGCACGGTATTCCCTTGAGGCATGATCTAGCTAGCCACTCCCCTTCCTCTGGTGACTGTGCACCTGGTGGACTGCAAGGGCCCCGCGGAGAACTGTGTGGTGCTCTGGTGGCCTTTAGAGGCTTCCCTGCCGAGGTAGTCAACGAGGGCATTCCAGGGGTGCCCTGCGCGCAATTTGACAAGTGCCCGATATTTCCAGCGAGTCGCTCTCAAGTGTGTCTGGAACTCTGAGATCTGAACGGAACAAGACGCCAAGAGACTAGAAGGCAGCGACAAACTTGGTGCCAGTGCTGTTGTAGTCTGGCGTCGATGATGGATTACCGAACGGTTGTGTCACAAGCCCGCTCCAAT